CGCTGCCCCCGTCCCGGCTCGCTCCGGCCCCGCGCCCACCAACCAGCACCCGAGCCGGCTCCCAGCTCTCGCGAGAACTGGCGCGGGGGCGGGGAAAAGAAGCGCCCACAGCTCTTCCCGGAGGGCCGGGGCAGAAGCCGAGTGCGCCTGCGCACTTCCCGGTTGGCTATGGGCTGGGAAGACGCGTGAGCTGGCAGGGCCAGGCGCGAGGAAGGGGGCGGGGTGAGCTGGAACGTTAAACTGCCGCGTCACTCTGGCTCCGCCCCGCCCGGGAAAGCGCGTTTATCACGCGTGGGGCAACTGGGAACTCAAATGTTCGATCGAACCGGCTTGACGTCACCGGTGGTGGCAGGGCTCGAACTCGCGGTCCCAGGAGCCTAGCTGGTCTGGAGCGCGCTGTTTCAGGTACCGAGGATGGCCGCGGCGGGAGCAGCACGAGCTACCCAACAGCTGCGGCTGTTGCTGCTGGCAAACGCACACTGTGCTGTTAAACTCCGGCTGCTGCCCCGCCCCCCCATCCCATCCCATCCCATGGTGGAATTAGCAAAGGGAGGGGGGGCGGGGGTAAAAAAAAAAGGAATTCGCAAATGAGCAATTAGCAAACTGGAAAGGCTTGGGACCTGAGGAGGAGGAATTGCCGCGGTCAACTCAGGACCCCCTCCCCCTCAACAAGTAAAACAACACATTGCCTTAGTTAAAAAGTAGATTAAAAAGAACAACACAAAAGAATAACACAGCCCACCCATAATGACAAGATTATAACAAAACAATAACAATTATAATATTTGGAGATTATAATGTATTAAATATTAAATACTGCTTTAATATTAAATATATATTTAAATAAATATATAATACCTCATATAATATAGGTGCACTGTGATTCTATAATATATAATATGATATTAAAGTATATATAATATTTGGTGAGTCGTGTTCTTTGATTGTCAAATCAAGAGGACTAGAAATGGAAAACAGATGAGGTTAAGAGTCTCTGATATGAAAAGGCTTCAAGAGCCCGGGCTTAGAGAAAAATAAGGAAAGCTGTGATTGTCAGGAGCCAGGCTTAAGAGAGATTAACACAGCCGAGAAGATCCAGAAAGGCACTGAAGTGCCAGACTCCTCTTTGAGCAACATTGACTTCCCAGTGAAGTCAACAGGCACCTAAACACTTTTTTTTTGATCTAGCTCCTTGGGCACGTCCAGATGAGCGCACACCCATCTCCAGCACCACACACTGCGCGCACTGCACATGCAGGCATTCCCCACACAGCCAATTTGCAGCATAGGAGGGCTTTTTGACACTTGGAGATCCTTGTGTCAAAAAAACCCTTGCCTAAAAAAAGTAGGGTGGCATATGTGGTGGCAACATGGGGTGCCCAAAACCAGAGCCTGGCCAGCCAGAGCCACACTCCGGCTGCTAGCCAGGCTCCCTGCTGCTGGACTGCTGTGGCTGCAGCCCCCGAAGGCCTCCCAAGACCCCAGGTACAGCTGCTGGGGCCAGCTCAGATGCTGGCCCCGGTTGCGCTCACAAACCAGATTTCGAGCCTAGTGCTTTAAGAACTGACACAACACTTGGTTGATTAATAGCAGAAAGGCTTGCTTGAATAACTACAAGCAAGCTATAAAACTGAATGACAGAAAAATACTCTTTTTTAATATTCAGTACATGAACTATTACAGTCCTTGTACCATTTTAGCTGCAAGAGACTTTTACCCAAGCAGGCAGGAAGCGGTTCTTATCCTTACAGTTTTCACAGAGCTTGGGTCCTTCATTTGTGGACTGGGTGCAGGATGGCTTCTTATAGATTTCATAGACATTAGGGCTGGAAGGGACCTCGGAAGATCATCGAGTCCAGCCCCCTGCCCCAGGGACAGGAAGTCAGCTGGGGTCATAGGATCTCAGCAAGATAAACATCCACATTTCTCTTGAAGGCGTTCAGAGTAGGTGCTTGAACCACCTCTGATGGCAGGCTGTTCCAGACCTTGGGGGCTCAAACAGTAAAAGAATTCTTCCTTATGTCCAGCCTGAAACAGTCCTGCAGGAGTTTATAACCATTAGACCTTGTCATCCCTTGGGGTGCTCTGGTGAACAAACCTTCCCCCAGATCCTGGTGGACACTCCTTATAAACTTATAGGTGACCATCAGATCGCCCCTGAGCCTGCGCTTTTCCAGGCTGAAGAGTCCCATAGCTCTCAGCCTGTCATTGTAAGGTCTGTTTTCCTGACCTTTGATCATGTGCGTGGTCCTCCTCCAGACTCTCTCAAGCTTCTCCACATCCTTTTTGAACTGTGGAGCCCCAAACTGAATGCAGTATTCTAGCTGCAGCCTCATTCTTGATCTTCCCTGGACTGCACACCTTGCTGGCAGTTGTCTTTCTTTTTACACTGTTTTAATTGTATAGCTTCTAAGCATTTTTCTTTGATGATTGGTCAATTAAAGACCAAACAAAACAGGGAGGAAAAGGGGGAACAATCACATTACAATTATTAAATTGCCTGGCTCCTGTTTTTGGATTTGTCCATGTGTGAAGACTTGTGTTTCTTGCAGCTACTAACTAGCTCATCAGTTAAATGTGATGGGTCCTGAATAGCTAAACAGGATACCTAGAGGCATTGCTTACCGGATTTGTCTTTGGGTATTTGTTTAACAATGGGACAAATTTGCAATAGTTTGTACTGGTGGTTATGGTCTATTTACAAAATTCCAGACAGACGTTGAACGATTGAGACTTTTGTAACACCTTAGATATTGAATGCATGTTTTGAGAAATATGAGCATGTGTTTATGCATTTTTTTTTTGTCACATACAGGACACCTTTCCTGTATTCAGTGCACCTTTTACAGGTTTTGCTTGAAATGTATATTTAATCTTTTTTAGTTGCTAGTTCAGTTGAAATGTATATGTAGTTTCCTTGCCTTCTCTAGCTCAGCCTCTCTCTCGTAGCTTGGATATATACATGTGATGTGTGTGTCAGGTCTCTGCCAAAAATTTTCCTTTTAGAGGAACCATCACGCTTATTTATAGGCTTGGGTGTGGTAGAAGGTTGAGGACTATTATCATGACTGTGATCATCTTATGGCATGGGTCTAGTATTGGGTACTGCAAGCTCCACTTTCTTTATGCATAATGCGTTGCAGCCATTAGCGGAGTTTGATTTTTGTTGTGGCAGACTTGTCACTACAACCCAGTCTTGCCTCAGCCACTGTCTTGCATTTTTAAATTTCACAGCCATCAGCCCCAGCCTCCCCTACCCCACCTGGGGCAGCATGCTGCGTGCCAGAGTGCATATGCATGGGTGTTCCCTGGGGACAAGCAGCAGCAGCACATATTGTCCAACTAACCCAGGATTCTGTCTCCAACAACACCATGCTTTAAGACAGTGGTGCTCAATCTTTTTCCCTGGTGAGCCGGATGGGCAGTAACCAGTCTGTCTGCAGCCCAGACCCAGCAGGTTGTCCTGATCTAGCATCTAGAGAAAAAGCAGCAGGAGCCTGGGCCTGATCCAGCCATTAGGGGATAAGGTGGAGTGGCCTGACCCTGATCCAGCCATACATGTGTGATAGGATCTGATGTGCCATCCACATAATCACACCTCCTGCCATGGCACACATGCAAGGCAGCAGGCATGATTGTGGGACCCAGCATCAGATCCAATTACACCTTACTGTCAGTTCAGTGGGAGCCCCATGAGCTGCTGCAGCTGGGAGTCCCACAGCTGATGGAGCCCGCAGCTAAGGAAGTAATTGTGAGATCCAGCAGCAGGACTCATAGGGTGCTCCCCCCAGCTATGACCAGTGCCAGGCCCCAGATTCTGACCTGTGTTTCAGTTGGAGCCCTGGCAGTGTCTCTGAAGATGGGCAAGTTGGTCTGACCAAATGTGTTGGGTTTTTTTTTAATTTTGGGGCAGCTGAGACCATTCAGGCCCTAGCAAAAAAAAAAGCCAGCAGCCCGCAGAGCCAACCTGAGCAGGGTGCAGGGACCAGGGCAAATCAGCTGATGTGGGGCCCTGCCCCTGCTCTGATCCCACGTGCCCCGGACCCAAAGAAGTTGTCGCCGCCATCAACAGCAGCGTCATCGGCAGCGGGGGGCGGGGGATAGCGAGCGGCTGGAAGTGAAGCCAGCAGTGGCAGCAGTGTGGAGTGGCAGCAGT